GGGAAGTGGTGGCTGGAGGGGCATGTGAAAGGCAGAATGAGGGATAAGGGGCACTATGGTTGTTCCCTATGTTAGGGAGCAAAATAAAAGTTAACTATTGTTCAGGTGTAAAACTGAATAAATCTGAATGAAACTTTGATTGGTCATGCTTGGCAATTAAATTGGTCAGTTTCAGGCACACCAAGGAACAAATGCAGACTGGAGTAAGATGGTTGCTGAGATACTGTAATTTTTAGTTCTGTTGTACTTGCAAGAGTTGACTGTAAGGAGGTACAGCTGTAGAGCAAATAACTTCTACTACCAAATACAAAAAATAACTGTGGGACAAAGTTACTGTGAAGAAACAACTTGGGGTTAAAATTTAAAAAAAAAAAAAGTTTTTTCTGTGTGGTAGATGATGAGCACTGTCATCCTTTCAGGACTAGAGGTGAAGTGAATCACATCATGGTGCCAAGCACCAGCTTCTCAAACTAGCCTGTTTAGATCCAGTCAGGATGGTTGGGGGTGATGCCAACACTGGCCTGTGAATAAAATGTCTCAGATGGAGCTTCAGCTGAGAGCTCCAGTGCTGAGACAGCAGTCCCAACAAGCCCAGAGGAAAAGCCTGGATGCAGTCAGAAGCAGGCAGTTTTCAGAGATGACTGAAGTGAGCTGCATTAACTGAAGGGTACAGCAATGTCCAGCTGCTGCAGGGGCATGTGAGAAGACAACAGAGCTGTCATCTCTGCAATGGGGCAATGAGCAAAAACAGGGATTTGCAGGTGGGCATTACTGCTGGGATACTGTGCTAATATGAAGGGGTGGCCGTTGAAAACCAGGTTCTGCTTTCTGATGTGTAAATGATCGTGTAAAAGCAAATTTTTACAGAACTGCTATTTCTGTATGCTTTCAGGTAACAGGGCAAATGCCTGTTGTTCTTCTGGAAAGCAGGTATATTTTAAAATAATTATAAAATATTCATTTTGTGCAGAGAATATGCACTTAGTTTAAATCATAGCAAACAGACAAATGCACTTAGTCTCCCAAGAACTGTGCAAATGTCTTAATTTCTTTAAGCACTGCCATATTTCACTGACATAAAATGTCAGCTTGGCAGCAAGGTAAGATTTTAAAATAAATTTTCCAGTTTATTGTGTCCACAGAAACAAAAGAACATAGCCATATCAGTGTGTATGTACACTTCATATTTTGTTTATGTGCCTAAACTCACTATACTTGTGAAATTCTAGATGAGTCACCTCTGTTTGGTTGCTTCCTTGTCCTTTCTTGCATTTTTTTTTTTTCCTGACTAGTCTGGGCATCAGTGATTGACGCTGGGAAGAGAAATGCACTTAGGTGTCTGGTGAAATCTTTGACTGTTATAGAAGACGTCAGACATGACTCATGAATACTGGGAACTATAGCACAAAGGTAGATATTTTATAGCTTTAAAAATTCACAAAATACATTATTAAAATGACCACAAGATATATTAAGTTGGGGTTTTTTTAGATATTAAGAATTAGTGTTGTGGAATAGGGTTTTCAGTGAACTAGAGCGTGGTTTTGTGCTCAGTATGTGGGTGTATTTTAAATGTTACTCTTATCTTAGTAATTATGTGAATGGTTTTTTCAAAGTAAAATACCATTAAGTTACTGGTAAAAATTTATTTTCACACATGTAGAGTGAAAGTGAGACCTGCTGCAGCACACATGTGTCTGAGCTGGCACTTGACTGTAGTACGGGGACGTGGAAGGTGGGGATTTTTCCAGACATTTACAGACCAGTTTCTGCATGGAAAGAATCAACCCCAAACTAATAGAGCCTTTGGAACATAATGGCTCATGGTAACTCAGCTGCTTGCCAATTCTTACAAAAGCACTGTGGTTTCCTCCCACGTACCTCTGTATGCAGAGGAGCCTACAAACTAACACCTAAAATTTTCTGTAGTACAAATACCAGTTCTCAAGACGTTCATCAGCTGTGGAGATGAACTGGCTTGCTGCAGTGCTCTGCACAATACATTTTATGCTCCATATAACTTTTTTTATTTGTTTTGATAGTATCCTTTTTCATAGTGCTTTTTATATCTCAGAAATCCTTAGGCTCCTTATGCCAACTTGTTTCCTCAAGCTGCCCGCTTGCTGCATTTCTAGTCAGACCTTTGTTTCCAGACCATTTTCCTTCCCTATTTTGTGTGAGGCATGGGCAATAGGGTACAGTTAATTCCCTTCCGAAGAAAAAGTCACAGAGACAGCAGCAGCTGCAAACACCTCCCATCAAAGCTGCAGACAGAAAACAGCTGTCAGCAAAATGGTGTGTTTTACTCTGTACTTGCAGCAGAAAAGTGTGGCAAGGAATGAATACATTCCCAAACAGCAAGTGTATGGCAAGGAATGAATGCCTTCCCACTGAATTAGGGATGGGAAGGGGAAAAAACCCTACAAAATGCTGTATTTTATGCAGAGGAGGCTGCCTGTGAAACAAGTACATGAAACCTAAGGGCAAAGGCATACCTGTATAGAAGCCTGTGTTGTTACAGCCACATACAATCATAGTGGTCCTTGTGGGTTGCTTCCATTTCAGTGTATTCTGAGTCCATCTCCTAGATAAAAGTATTGTTTAAAAAAGACATGGCTTCCTGTAAAGATTTAGTTAGAGGAAGTTTGGAAATAGATTTCTTTGTTGTTTACTTCTATTTGCTACAATTAGATTCTGCAACTTCCTTCTGTTGGGAACTCAATACAAGAACACCCACCTGAAAGAAACCTATAACATTGGTGGTTTGGTTTTTTTTTTTTTTTTTTTTTTTTTTTTTTTTGTTGTTGTTGTTGTTGTTGTTGTTGTTGTTGTTGTTGTTGTTGTTTTTTCTCCTGTTAGGCTTTTGATAGGGCCTATTGAAGACTTACATGTGCAGGATCTACTGCTCCAGCTGGATCCCTACAAACCTATGAGGCCTGATAGGATTAATCCAAGAATCCTTCCAGAGCTGGCTGATGTAATCATAAAATGTCTCTTTTGAGTGGTCTTGGGATTCCAGAAGTCCAAACTGACTAGAAGCTGGCAAATACTTGTCCCTGTTTTCAAGAAGGGCAAGGAGGACCCAGGAAACAACAGGCCTGTCAGTCGCACTCCAGTGCCTGATAAAGGTATGGAGAAATTTATCCCGGAGGTACTGAAAAATACCTGAAAGACAACGCAGCTATTGGTCACAGCCAGCACAGCTTCATGAGAAGAAAGTCCTGCTTATCAACCTGGTTTCCTTTCACAACTAGGTAACCCACCCAGCTGACCAAGGGAAGCCAGTTAAGTTTTTGATACTGTCTCTCACAGGATTCTTCTGGACCTGATGTGCAGCCCACTGCTGAATAAGGTCCTGCTCTGCTCTGAGCTGGGGCAGCCTCGCCTTGAGTGCTGGGGTGTAGCAAAAACAGTTTTCCTATATGAGGAGCAGCTGAGGGCACTTGGTCTGCTCAGCCTGGAGGACACTGAGGACAGACCTCACTGCAGTTACATCTTCCTTGTGAGGGAAAGAGGGGCAGGCACTGATCTCTTCTTTGGTGGTGAACAGTGACAGGACTTGGGGGAATGGCCTGAAGTTGTGTCAGGGGAAGTTTAGGTTGAATACTAGAAAAAGGTTCTTCACCCAGAGGGTGGTTGGGCACTGGAACAGGATCCCCAGGGAAGTGGTCACAGCCTGACAGAGTTCAAGAAGCATTTGGACAATGCTCTCAGGCACATGGTGTGACTCGGGGCTGGTGCTGTGCAGGGCCAGGAGTTGAATTCAATAATTTTTGTGGGTCCCTTCCAACTCATTCTGTGATTCTGTAAATAATTACATGGTTCACTTCCAATGCTTTTTACATGATTCAGAAGGATTTTAAACTAAGGGTAATATTTATATCTTATTAATGACCCTACTAGACAATACATACATGAGTCTCCTATGCTCTCTGATGAGTTATAGTGAGCATAAGTGTTTCTTTGTAATCTGGATCCTCACAGGTGTGGTCCCGTTCCGTTTGTGTCTGTATATAAACGGCCAGCGTCATCACTCTATATCACAACGCTTGGATTAGCAACAAAAAGGCCCCATAAGCCCTGATAAAGGGCCGGGACTGCCACCTCTTTGCCATTTTTTAGGTTCTTTGGTGTTTGTGTTTTATTTTCTGTTCCTTTTCTCAGTTGCTACCATGCATGATGGGTCATGAAGTTGTAGTGAGGGGAAATGTTCAAGGTAATACTACTGAAGCAGACTGTAAGAGCTGTAGCAAACAAAACAAACTACTGCTTTGTTCAGTACTGAAAAAAAAAGAAAAAAAAAAAAAAGAAAAAAAAGGCAAGTAGATTGTTTTGAAAGAAGAAAAAATTGGTGCTATTTTAAAAAGCATGTAGTATCTTACTTCTCCTGCAGCTTTAACAGTACTGGCTATGAAGAGGCCTACAATATATTTAATTTCTGCATATTTTGTGCAAGAGTGTTATCCAGCTCTGCATTTTTTTTTCCTTACACAATGAGAAAGGCAAAAAGCAAGCTGGTTTCCTTTGCTAGCCTTTGCAGAAAAACCTGTGAAATGAAGCGTAACTCTGTTATGAATGGGATCCTGCAATAACCACGTCTGTGAGAGTCACTACATTAGAAGTCATTGTGGTGTCTCAGTGCCTTCTTGGACAACTTCCTAACTCTTGCTGCATTTGAAAGAACTTGCTGAGTGTCCCTTAATTCAGGTTTTGACACTATGCCTGCAAAGGGGAGGTCAGAAAATGTGGTGACGTGAAAAGGAACTGTACTCTTTGTAGTGAAGACAATGTTGAGGCAGGCTTTTAATTTGGATTCTGAGCCTAAGAACTTTTAAAAAGTACCCCGTTTATTTTTTCTCATTAACATCCTTTAAGAGATGAGTTCCAGGTTCTTTTCTCCTGCTGCAAAAGAAGGAATGAAGTCATGCTTTTTCCCATGTTTTTAAATTAATGTTGAACCACAGTGCAATGGAAAGACTATATGTACTTGAAAAAAAATTTATTTTGATAATTTTATTATTAGCAAAGAGGATTTGATATAAAACAATAGAGTACAGGAGAAATACTTTTACAGATTTTTGTGGTTTAAATTCTTACTCTCTGAAAGGAACAATTAAGATATCTTCTAAAAATTTAGAGATTCATTGATCAGAAAGAAGAGATATAATTGACATATCATTGCAAAATAAGCATCACAAGGGTATGAATGGGAGGTCTGACACAGTAAAATTTAACCTAAACATGGCAGAGAGAGCATGATGATCTTTGTTTTTTCTTCAGTCCCATCCAATCACCAGGATGATGGCAGGTAACTTTCCACAGTTTATTTCTGCTTCTGTCTAATCTTACGAGCCCCACCCCAGCCCCTGCTGATTTTATACTGAGGTTTTATAAATATGAAAAAGAAGTTACAAACAAAATTTTAAGTACACAGTACAGTTTCATTCATTTTCAGATTGCCCAAATTAATAAAGTTGTTCAAATCAAGAATCTTTGGCATCTGCAAGCCAGAATGATTGTATTACCAAAGTGCAAGGATAAATCCCAAAATTCTTGTATCAAAGAATTACCTAGAGCCAGAGTAACACGTGTGTGTGTGTGTGTAGTTTGTTTTGTGTGCATGTGTTCTCAGTTACAGTGGACCTCTGGAAATACAAAAAGGTAAATCTTTCTGTCAGCTGATTGTTTTAGCAGTCACATAATGCTTTCTTTGATGTCCTGGGTCAATGAAATCCTAGTACCATCGGGGTTTAGTAGAAGATCTATTAAAAGAGTTGTCTGTGATCTTTCCTGCAATGGAAACAGCATTTAAAGTTATTACTCTGTCACAGTGAAGGAATATCTCTGCATTCTTGATTGTCCCAGCTTTCCAAATTGAGTTATATTTTAGGTTACCAGTAGAGTGTAACTGTAGCTACAGAGTTAACAGTGGTCTCTTTAGCTTCCTAAAGCTACCACTACAAGGTCTGGAGAAGACAGGGAGGGATCCATGGTGGAAGCACTCTCTCTCTTACTAGCAAGTTACTCTGAAAATAATGTTGGAGGCAAGTTACCAGAGCAATACTGTGTGATGTGCTACATATCCACATACCTTCTCATCTTTAGCCAACAGTCCTCTTAAACAGTACTGAGGTAGCTTTTCCACCTTAGGCCATTTAGTGTCTAACATCAGGATATCATAATGTGTACTCATTCATTTTTTGAGAGAAAACAGCAAAAACATTTCTCAAAGGCTCTTAGGAAAGGTACATCTTGTTTTTTGCTCTAGGGCTCGACTCCTGTTCCTGCTGAACTGAGCCAGTGTGTAAAATCAGAACTGATATCAGCTCAGTAGGCACCGGAGGACGGGTCCATCAACAGCCTGGAACAACAGCAGCAGCTGTAAGTTGTTTCCGACTGGAGCTGCCACCATTTCCTGCAAACAACACACAGTGCTAAGCTAAAACTGCAGAGAGGATCATGACAGCATCCATTAAAGAGAAGACTATAAAACAAAAGCTTTATTGACAATTTCAGGTTAAACTCACAAATGTTATTTCCTCTGACCTTTAGGGAAGCATGGTAACCAAATTACTGTAGGCAATGCCTTACATTTGCAATCAGACTGAAAACTTAAGGAGCACTGTTTATTCTCAAATAAAACTCAAAGTCTTTGGTCCTTCCCAGGTTGCCTCTGCCTCTTATGCTCCATACACTGAACCTCGGACACATGTATTCATCACAGATCTGCCCATTCAGCAGCAAGGGATCTCAGCCAGCAAACACTCTCTGCCCTGCAAAGAGTCTCCTCTCCCTTCTCTTCAGGTGCAGAACTTAGCCACTGTGAACAAAGAGGAAAACAATCACTGTTCACCAATCAGCTAAGCTCTGCACCTCACCAGAGAGATCTCGGTCTCAGCAGAGATAGTTTTCGGAGGAGGTTCTTCCATGATGCTCTGCTGCTTTCCTCCGGTTTGGTGGGTTTGGGTTTGTTTCTCTCTCTATTTTTTTTTTTTTTTTTGTGTATGGATGTGTGTTTTTTGTTTGTTTGTTTGATAGATGGAGAGGATTCCACGCTGTGCACCCATCAGACTGTTAATGGTGAGTTTCATGCTAGCAGCTGTGGTCATGGCTGCGTGGTAATCCCTGGCAATGTGATTTTAATCTTAAGTCACAAATCATCATGCCAGGAACCCAAACAGCCATAACATTAAAAGAAAGCTGTGCAGACAGAGTATTGGACTCAGTATTTTTAGATTTTGTGTTATAGCTAACCATGCACTTCCACTCTGTAAAGTCAAAGGGGTAATTCTAGACTATTGCTAACACCTGCATACCATGTAATCTTCCTGTGCTAGATACTTACCATCAGAAACTTGTAGAAATTTTGATTTTATTGTTTCTGGCCTTCAGACACTTGAACACACCTACCAGATTAAGATTAAGAACTGTTGAACATAACTCAAATTCCTGTGAGTCCTTGATAATTGGGAGTACACAAGAGAGTCTATAGCAGTAACTATTTTAAAAGGTGTCTCTCCTACTGCTCCACTGATATCCTGCCACTCTACAGTCTGATCCACCTTTCCCAAAAAGTTTTCTTGGCAGGCACAGTTCTTGTCTATACAGAATAACAACATGGCTTTTCATAATCAAAGTTGCTTTCATAGTATCTGTCATTGGCTATATTTCACAGAAATATTGCAAAAAAACAATACAAAATCAAGTGGAACTCAGTCAAATACTGCTAGAACAGGAGAAAATTAAGATTTTTGCTTGGTATCAATTAGGTGACAATGTTTTTGCTAAATTAAGAGCCTGAATTTTGATACCACAAATCAGCTGTAAAGTTTTGTGAACAACCACAGCAATCAGTCTGTCGGATGAGTTGGATGATTAACCAAAAATCTGAGATATGCTGTACTCGAAGAAACATTCATTCATAACTTAATGGGTTATATGTTAAACATGCATGTGCAGACACTGTAAGGCTACCTCCAACTCCTCAGATAGAGAATTGGAAAGTATCCTTGCAAATTTATAGCCTACAGCAATCTTCATTCCATAAGTATTTTTGTAATTTTGCTTTTTCTGATGATTCCTCTCCTTTAATTTCATAAACAAGTTAACTTCTTCCTGTTAAGGCTACTTTTTTACCTCATAATCAATCTTCAAAACCTCCATATCCTTAACACAAAAAAAAATGTGAATTATCTGCTTGTTCTCACATGATATTTACTTCCAAGTCCACAGTTTCATATTTCCACTGTGGGATCAGGCTTTTTTCAAAGACTATCCTGCCTGTCAAGTAAACATGCAGCTCCATTAGACAGAAATGCTCCTAGCACAACTGAAATTTTTGTAAGCAGTGTTAGGAATACAGGATGGGAAACAACTGTAGGCAGAGCATGGCCTTCTTTGGCCATTTGAACTTACAGTTGCCTCTTGTACAGTCCTTTACAACAAAGCCATTCTCCACGTTCTCCAGCTATGCCTACATGTATGTAACTCACTGCTCCCGCAGCTGGGCTTAAGAAAAAGAAAAAAAACAAGCCAACAAGATATATGACAAGAGTTATTTGTCAGCCTAAGCAGCCACATGTTGTATGGTATGCCATAGTTTACCACGTTCACTGAGCTCTGCATATTCTTTCTATCTGAAGCAAAATCAGGGTGTTAGGATTAAAATGAAAAATCACCTTTTCAGAATAACATCTCTGCCACCACTTTGGCTGAGGATGCATCCATATGTTCTTGTGCTGCAGCAAAGCATTTCCGTGCAAGTTCCTGTTGTTTTGCATCTTCATTCACCATTAATTCACCATAGAGATACACACCCATAGCCTGAAAGAGGAACATAACACACAAGCATCCCACCACCAGTAACAACTAGTTAGCAGGGGTTTTGACATTGACTCTCTACTTTTCATTTAAACTAAAAATATAACAAAATAGACAATCCAAAACACAGAAAATACTATTTACTCTTTAATGTCTATTGTCCCCCCAGAAGAACTAATTTTCTCTGTGTCTCTTTAGCCTAAGGACGGTTGTCTATATGCTGTGTTGACTCTGCAAAAACAGATTACTAATGTAAGAATTTTGTGTTATGGCATGACAAGAAAATCACTCCTCACCCCACTTTCCTTGCCACTGTTCAAGTTGAATACTGTTTCCTTTTACCTATCTGGTTTTTTTTCCAAATGTTCCTTAAGAAAAAAGCTTCTCCTTCCTTCAACAGGATACACATTTTCTTTCCAATTGTCATATTTACTCACAGATCCATGAACAAAGACTGAAGTACTCCACTCTAAAATTCTCATTTGGCAGTTCTGTAACTGGACATCAACTGAATATGGTCACATCTATGTTTCACTCCCTTTATAGCACAGATACAGTTTAATATGCATAAATGCATAAATTCTGGTTGGGTATGAAGACAGTCTTTTCCTAACTATTTATTCTGAACATAGCAGCTATAAAAAAAGGTAATGGGGCTCCTGTGAGGAGATCTGGGTCCCTTTGACCACTGCCAACAAAGCTCTGGCTCAGGAAACATATTGGAGATTGTCTTTTTTTTTCTGATCATACTTTTTTTTCAGCTAATTACAGGAATTCAGTAAATGCTAAACTGCACTTACCAAAATAGGATTACGTATGTGACAAAATATTAGCAGCTTAGCATGCTGACTTTTACAGTTACTGTTTGGACACTTGCAGAAGTGGAAAAATTTGGACAGCATTGAGAAAATATAATTTTTAATGCTATTCCTCACAATTTCCAGCATTGGCTGGTAAGCCTTAAAAACCCCTTCAGCCAGAAGAGAAATTTAAAATTTTAAAAACAACTGAAGTAAAAGAAGAGAGTCCTAGAGTGGCAGGAACCTGCCAGACTCCTTGCCAATTCTCTAAGCGTACTGTAACGCCAAGAGAACCAAAACCTGAGATTTCCAAGCTTTGCAGCTGCACCAAGGTCTGGCAGCCACACAAATGGCCTTGGAGCTGAGCTCCAGTTGCTCTCATTGAGAAATTTTAAATGGTGAAATTTTCTTACTATAGGAACTACCTTCTCTACCCAGCATCAATAACTCTCCCCTACGTCTAAACATTAATATACCATCTGTATAAACACTCTAGTGTTTTGTAGAACTTCAAAGGATTTAAACAGTCCATTTGCATTTTTCTGCAGACTTTTAAAAATGCCATGTTACATGATCAGTACAGACATGCAACTGCTCTGATTTATGCACTAATCGCACCAGAAGCTCGTTGTGCCGTTAACTGTATGCACTGCTGAAGTAAATGAAATTAAGATTACATTAAAAAGTTGCAAAAAATGTCTTTATGTGACATAATAGCTATTCCAAATATAATGCAATTCTGTATGGTTTTATCAACTGAAGGGTTTCCTAAACCCCAAACCCCCAAGTTCTGCTGGTGGTTATCTCCATCCTTTCATAGAATATAAATATGCACAAACTATGTAACTCCTTATGAAATAATGTTATTTTATGTCTTTTTTGCTTGTTTGTTTTAATACAGAGCTTGCCAAGAGCTCTGGGGCCTGTTCACTGCTGAGATATAAATAGGAGGTATACTTCTGAGCTAGAAGAACGCTAGAATGAAAAAGTGCAATAATTTAATTGTTGCCTGAAAGCAGAAATCCTCATTGGCTGTAAACAGCTTTGTTCATTGTCAGCATAAAAGGGAAAGACATTAATATCTTGCCTAGATTTTGACGCATCTTTACCATTTTCTATTTTTTAACAAACACTTAAATATTTAAAATTCATCCTAGGCAGTGAATGTCTCCATTTTATAGGGCTCATAGTGAATAAAGAGAAATAAAAGTGAAAATAGAAAAAGAACAAGGCAGAGGTGCAATTAGAATTAAAAGTTCACAGTGGCCTAAATAAAAGGCCACAGTAAAGGAATCATGTATGTCCAGCCTTTTAATGCCTTCACAATCCTCTCTTACCATGTCCCTACCCATGGAGGGGCTAGCATTCCCTGGATGTGCTACACTACTTCTGGCTGTCATCTTCAAAACTGAGGTTACCACAGCACTGACTGCTTTGCACCTACCTATACTTGCATTGACATTCATAGCCACACTTACCTTCCTCATCCTGCAAAAGGAACCTGCTGAGAAGTATGTTCCTAGCATCACTCATACCTCTGGCTTGCATAAAATGCAAGGAGAGGAGGAATTCTATCCTATTTCACCACTTGACAGAGGATTAGCAGTCTTTAGGTTTAGGTGGGGTTGAGTTAGCCACTACTCTAAATGGCTTCCCCTACAATGTTTAGGGGACCACAGAAGAAAAAAATGAGTACACAGCCAAGTTTTTGACAAACTGCAGCAAGAAAACATACTAAATTTTTTTTTTTTTTACTTCAACATAAGGGTGTTAAAAAGTTGATTGTTTTCAAAATGCTAGTAAAAATGTAGCTTACTTGATCCTCTCTAAGGAATCTCTCAATGTCTCCATACCCAGGCTCATATTTGTGTTTAATGACAAGTTCACACCACCGATGACGAACCTTTGGGAAGAAAAATAAAACTAGGTGAAAAACAAACAAACAAACAAACCCCTGTATTTTGTCTGAGTGTTGATAATACATCTGTACCAGTTTGGCTTTTTCATATTTTTTGGGTTTGTGTCTTTTGGCAGGCTGCAGCCTGACAAGTCAGTCAGCTGGAAAGAGGAGCCAGAGCTCTGTGCTCCTCAGCCTGGGCTTTGGAAATCCAGGATGCCCAAAGACAAACTTGTGATTCTGTGCTAGAAACTAACTCAGATCCAGGCACACATGTGCAGCATCTTCACTGCCACTGTTTCCAGTCTTTGACTTTCTGTCTTTTAAGTTAGGCTAGAGGTTACTTCTTTCATATTGTCAAAAGGGGGTCATGGGGGGTGGCAGGAAACAAAGATTACCACTGCAAAGGTCTGGAGAAGCCACAAAATATAACTGATAATATCCCCTATTTAAGTGTATCATACAAGTGATAAAAAGGCTTAAAAGTAATTCTGTACCAATATTAAATCCATGCCAAAAGGGAAAAAGGTACATATCAACCCACGAGACAGGGAGCTTTCACTTAAATTAATCAGTTTTGCTACTAACAGTTTTTAAGCACATTCTTAAGCATTTAAAATTCATCTGCATTTAAAAAGCTGTCATGCTGTTCTACCAATGCACATGGATAAAACAGTTATTGACACACTGTAACAAAGTTTTCAAGCAAATTACAACTGAAAAAATGGTTTTACTTAAGTAGTATGAACATGAATTACATGTGTGTTGTCTTTACATTTTTGAATTTGTTCTTAGCCACTCTTGTGGCCTAAGTGTCATCTTACTCTCCAGTAAGGCTTTTCTGATTCAGGCAGTGATCAGCCTAACATTTTATATTCCATTAGCAATTCAGCACTGATAGTAAAGGAAAACAGTTAAATGGAATAACTCCCAATGCTTGTGTTTCAGCCTTTTCTCTTACCATCTTTCAAAAGACAGGGCACCTAATGAAAATCACCTTTCATAGTAAGAGTGAAATGTTAGCAGTTTTAGTAGTTTACGAAACTGAGCCCAAATTATGCTTATATCAAGTAGCTGAATATGAACCTTTCTCTGAATGACAGATGTAGTGATGACATTGAGAACTGAAGACAGAAAGGGAGAATGGGGAAAAAGGTACTGTTGCTTTTGGGAATAAGGTTTTGAAAAGAATTTCCTTTTCATCCTAGTCCCTGGCAACTTTTTAGCTCTGGAAAAAATTTCACAGAATTACATTAGATTAGATGTCAATCCTATTAGCATACTAACAAGTGATAAATGCTGACAGGTCCTGTGTGCCTGATACCTCTTTTTAGCTGACCACTTAAACAAAATAGTTTGAAGACACCTTATGAAAATAAAAAAACTGTGAAGTTTTGGGGTTGGGTGGATTTTGCACTCACTGCATTTAAGATACTAAATAGCTACAGTGCTGTGCATGATAGGGAATAACTGCTGTGTCTTACAGCTTTATGCTGACAAAATAGCAGCTGCTAGGACTCCTGCTAGTGGAACCAGAGCTAAATTTACAAAAGAAATGGCTTTCCAAAATTCAACTCACTTTGTTGTAGATGCCCATATTCACAATGCAGACCTTCAAAACCCTACCCAGCTGCTGCTTCTCTCAGGAGACACTAAATGTTTCTCCAGTATATCTTCCCAGGCAATCCAGCTTTGTTACAGGGTGTTTCTCAGCACCAAGCAGCTCCTTGCCCAGATGAAACTACCCAGACTCAAAACTTAACCGTACACCTATCTGTAAGATGAGTTAAGCAAACAATACAGACACATTTAAAAGGCTGTAGATACACTTTTCCCTGCAGATTCTTCCATATATAACAAACAAACAAACAATCCAAACAGAATTACTAATGTATTTTGATAGCAATGAGGAGGAGAAAGGGTCTGTGGTCCCCTCCTGTGATCACTGCTCTTCTACATCTCATGATCCAGCAGTTACAGCACTTACCCAGGAGGTAAGCAATCAAGTGCAGCTTCTGTGGCTGCTCATGACCTCAAACTGTGCCTTCAGTGAGAATATTTCAACAGCAGGGATGGGGCTGTCTTCACACCTCCTGGTGGAGCTGTTATTTCCCCTGCAGTTATTAAAGTATTTATTGATGTAAATGTGGAGTCACAAGACTTAAGGGCCTACATTTCTGAGTACTCTTTACAACAAGTAGGGACTTGGCTGGAAGAGCACTGGAGCCAGTTTGCCCCCAAAGCACCTTCTTGGTGCAACCATTGTAGTTGCATGGAGGGCAGAACAAGAAGTTCTATCTGTGAAGGCGTTCATGTGGTCTTACTTTCTGACATATTAAAGTCATGTATGAGTGACACTGCATCATGGCCTGAGCATCTGAATTCCAAGGGCTTTGGAAAACACAGAACTAAGCTGTGCCTGTTCCCTTAACTGTTCCTTCCTCCATATGGCTTCTGTCCTTGGCAACCAACCTTTATTCAAATAGTTAAAAAGAAAATTATTTATTTGTTGAGTGAGATCTGAGACAGCACACACTTTTCTTTCTCTCTTTTGCTTTTTTCTCTTTCTTTCCCAGGGTGAGTATAAATCCCAGCACATTCCCAGACCTGAAATGCTGGCACTTTGCCATCTGGGGCAGCAGCAGCATGTCTCTTATCCTCAGATTGCATATTTGCCTCCTGTATGCCCCAAATATTCCGGTGGCAGAGCAAGCTGCAGGAGAACCAATGGCTGCTGAAGGGCCTGTGAAACCATCAGCTCAGTCAGCCCTGCTCTCTGACTTGTGCAAGACTCCAGAAAGCAGAGCACAGAAACCAAGGCTGGCTCCAAGTTCAAGAGGGGCAGGGGGGCCTTGCACAATGTGGACTGAAATATATTGGTTACATTCCTGCCCTCTGCGCCCTATGGTGTGTAGACAGCCGTGCTGCCCAAACTGCAGCTACAACAGTTTCTCAGACACATGAACTATAAAGAAGGAATTTTTCTATGCTACTCCATAGCCCTAAGGCTGATTCCACAAACATAAGAATTTTAGTCACATAAGAGTAGAGTGCAAAAGAAAACCCCAGTTCCCAGCGTCTCATCCAATGCTTAGAGTGGCAAGAGCAAAATGGGCCCCACAGCTTCACAGCCTAATGAATGAGTCATGTGAACAGGCACTTTCAACAAAACAGTTTCAAACGGAAATTTTGTAAACTAAGTTGCTTGTGGTCAGACTGGGCTAACCATACCACATCCTGTGCATGCTCTTCTTGGCTTTGCTTTTCCTCCCAGGAGCAAATACTCAGTGGCAAAAATAAGAATTCATTAGTCCTCTCGCAGTTTTCTCTCTGCATGTTTAGCTGTGCTCTTCTACAGTTCAGAGATTCACAGCATATGTCGTTTTGGCTGGTTATATCATAAACAATATAAACTAAACCTGAACAGTAATTTACAGCAATCCATCCTGTTATTGCTGGCAGAAAGCACGGAGGACTTTGCTGGATCTGAAGCAACACCTTTAACTGCTCACCCACCCACCCACCCACACTCTCTTACTGGTTTGGCAGCTGCAAGGACTCACATGCTGATATTGGAATTGAAATTTATTTTCGCAGCCTGCAATACCAGGGTGAGAGCTGTCCTCCCAAGTCCAGGACTGATGGCTGGCACTCCCAAGGATGGGGAAAAGTAGGGCAGTGTAGTGATGGAGGTCTGCTGACACCTTAGGTTCCTTGTGGATGGACCTTCATCGCTTAGAAATTTTTTTGTCCTCCCACCCTGCTTTTGGAGATGGTGGGGGCCTTGCCACTGCCAGTTTTTTAAGCTAAATTAAGTTTTTAACTGTGTGTTTTGCAACACAATACTCGTATTAGTAGTGCATTTCTGAGGCACAGTCCAGTAACATGAAGACATGAAGACTCAATGTCTCAGGTACAAAATTTAATTTTTGCTAAGTACCAACAACATTGAGATCTAAGCATTGGCACGTACCTACACAAGACATAGTGAAGGGATGCCACTGTCAGACAGCAGAGTCCCAAATACAGGAGCAGCAGCTTATACAAATAATTCCAGGAGCCTCATAATATCTTTTAATTTCATTTTTGAGAAAAATACACAGTATTGCACAATATTATTTGTAACTCAAAAATACCTGCATTTGGACAGAAGATACCAAGACCAAAATTTTCTTGCTCTGTTTTCAGACAATGCAAGCTGCTGCATGAGATTATTTGAGGGGCAAACAAATTACATAAAATATTCTAATAATCTAGCTCTAAGGCAGTCCCTTTAACAACGTGGGCCAAGACCTTTTGGGAGATGGTGCTTTAAGCCATGTAAGGTACTAAATACAAGGCTTGACTTTCAAAAGAAAAGCTCCTAGTGACATACATACCTGAGAAAAAATTATTTTAAAGGTATTTTGAACATGTCTTAAATTAAAGAGATACTGACTGTTTCTGACTCAGGTGATAAATTATTTTGCCTAATCCATGTTATTCTTCCCTGGCCCACACAACCACAGAATCATAGAATCCCAGAACGGAATGTATTGAAAAGGACTTTAAGAATGATGCAGTTTCAACCCTCCTGCCATTAGATCAGGTAGCTCAAAGCCCCATGCAACCTTGGTCTTGGATGGGGCAACTTCCACAGAATGGAAAATTTCTGTGGGAAACCTGTTCCAATCTCTATCGACTTTCAGAGTAAAGAAGTTTTTCTAATATCTAATCTAAGGCTACTCTCAGTTTAAAGCCATTTTCCCATGTCCAAGACTATGCTCTTGCAAATAGTCCCTTTCCATCTTTCTTCCAGGCTCCTTTCAGGTACAGGATAGCTGCAATTAGGTCGCTCCTTCTCTTCACCAGGCTGAACAAACTCAGTTCTTTGGCCTTTCCTCACATGAATCAGAGAATCTCAAAGAATCACAGCTGAGTTGGAAGGAACCCTTAAGAATAACTGAGTCCAATTCTCAGAGTTGCATACAAGAAAAAAAAAAATTTACTTCTGAGGTCTACCCATA